TGAGAAAGAGAGAGGGGGAGAGGGGAATAGGGAAGATTAAGGGAAAGTAGAGAAAGGCGAGAGGGAAGGGATAAGAGAGAAAAGAGGGGAGGGAGATGATAAGATAAAGAAAGGGCGAAGGGCAAAGGATGAGAGAGATGGAAGGAAAGGAGAGAGGATGAGGGAGAGGAAGGAAGGAAAAAAATAATGAGAAAGGGAGAGAGTGAGGATTGGCGAAAGGAAGAGGGGAAGGGGGAGGGAGTGAGAGGGAGGAGGAGGGGGAAGAAGAGGGGGTAGGGTATGATAGGAGAAAAGAGAGAGAGATAAAGGAAGGGAGAGGAAGGAGAAGGAATGAGAGAGGGTGGGGAAGGAATGAGAAAAGAGAGAGGGAGAGAGAGAGGGGAGGGGAAGGGGAAGAGGGAAGGAGGGGGAATGAGAGAGAGAGGTGGGGAAGGAATGAGAAAGAGAGAGGGAGGGAGAGAGAGAGGGGGGGGAGGGAGTGAGACGGAGGATGAGGAGAGGGAGCAGAGGGTGGGGGGGTAGGGTATGAACCGGCAATCAGGGAAGGCCAATGACAGGACTTGACCCGGTAATATCGAGGCCTCCAGAGCCCTTCCACCTTTCAAACATGTTTTTTTTTCTTTATCCTTCTTTCTATCTTTCTCTATTTGCATCTTTCATATATGTTATTTTTTATTGTATTTTCCTTGGTTCGTATTTCGTGCATGATCTACGTTTGAATTCTTCTTTTTTCGCTCTTTCATTCTTTCTTTCTCCTTTCTAGGAATGCGCATTGCGAGATTATTCCATTTTGTTCATTTCTCTTTTTTTCCCTCCTTTCTGTCGAGTGTACATGGCGCCGGTGAGCACACAATATGCAAATAATAAAAGCCAGCGCGCGCCATCTCTCGGCCGACTCCTCGCATATCAAGCGGCCGATTCGCTAAGCTCGCTCTTGCACTCCAGAAATGCGATAAGGCTATTACGCATTCCCCGCACTAAGCTGGGGAATGTTAAGATCCATAAGGCGATTTAAAACGGAAAAAAAGGATGCATCGCTCTTGATTTTCTCAGACCCCAACGTGAGGGTTTCTACCAAGCTCCCCCCCCCCCCACTGGAACCCCCGTTTCCGGACCCCCACTTCGCTCAGGTATCTTAAAAAATAAAAAAAGGAGAGAGAGAAAAAAATGCACTTTGTCCAACCTCACATGAACCCGTTGAACCTCGCTACTAGAACCCCACATGGCCTCGTCCAAACCCGTTTCTGGCCTCTGTAAATCCTCTGGACCCCGATAAGTCTTGTTTCGTCCCCCATGGACTCTGCTAGCTGGACCCCACGTAGCTGCATGTCATCCCAGTGGACCCCGCTACTTAGACCCCACATGGCTTCGTGTCAAACCGACGAGACCCCGTTAAAGCGAACCGACGTGGACCCATTCAACCTCGCTACTCGGACCCCCACTTGCCCTGCCGCCGATGCCTTCAGCGCGGACTCGGACCCCACCTGAACCCCACGCGATTCCACCCGGGATGCCCATGGCCCCCAGCAGACCCCGGCCGGACCCCACCTGGAGCCACGGAGCGGGGCTGGATGCGCTGGCTGGCCTCCCTCCTGTACCCCGTGGGCGAGATAAACACTGGGAGCCCGCAAGCTAATTTTCTTCGCCTTGCCCTGCCCTGCTACATCATGCTATACCCTGTCCTGCCCCAATCTCCCCCTGGTGTATCATGCCCTTGGTTTCCCCCGTGGAGCTATGGCGCATCTTGCCACATCTGTGCCATACCCTTCGGCAGGGCTGTCGACTTAACCCTAGCAGGACTTGGATTCATACCCTGTAATTAAGGGTAGACTTTTCCATTTACCTATGAGTAAATATCGTGACCTAAGTTAACACCCATACCTCTGACCTCGTTTACTCACCGTCTCACCTTCTTCCCCTGCCATTTCTTCACCCTGCACCTCACCGCTGTATTCACCTATCTCCCTTCCTCCCTTCTCTCGCGTCGCTGCCCCTCCCCCCCCCTACCCTGCCGACCTCCTGTTGCCAGCCTTCTGCATTACACTGCCATGCCCTCTCCAGAAGGTCCCCCGTCCCCTGTACCCTACCCTGCTCTCTCCCCTGTACCATGCCATGCTCTTCCCCTGTACCCTACCATGCCCGTTCCCTGAGCCCTATAGTACCCGTCCCCTATACCCTACCATACCCTCCCCTGCATCCTACAGTACCCCTCCCCGTACCACACCGTACCCTCTCCCCTGTACCTACCATACCCTCCCCTGCACCCTACAGTACCCACCCTCTGTATCATACCGTAACCCTCTCCCCTGTACCTACCACCCTTACCATGCCCTCCCCTGTACCCTACCATACCCCCCTGCACCCTACAGTACCCACCCCTGCACCCTACAGTACCCACCCCCTGTACCCTACCATGCCCTCCCCTGTACCCTACCATACCCACCCCCTGTACCCTACCATGCCCTCCCCTGCACCCTGCCGTGGCCAGAGGCTGGGCAGGGTAAGGTCTGGCCAGATCTCGGCGAGCTGGGTGAACTATGGCACCTCTAATCTGATTCTCCCTCGATCCGCTGGCGAGGGCCCGGGGAACCGAGGCCGGGGTTACTAACTCATCCGTTCCCGCACCGACCCTCGCGCGCGCCGTGCCCTCCGCGCTGTGCCGCCGCGGTTTTGTTTTGGGGGTTTTATGCGTGTGTGTGTTTGTGTGTTTGGGTGTTAGTGTGTTTGTGTAATATTTGTGTTTGTGCGTGTTTGTGTTCACCCTCCCCTCCCTTACCCTCCTCTCCCTTCCCTCCCCCCCTACCATCCCATTCCTTCCCCCTACCTTCCCTTACCCTCCCTTACTTTCTTATACCCCTACCTTACCCTCCCCATCCCTCCACTACTCTCCTATACCCTCCCCATCCTTCCTCTCCCCTCCCCTCCCTCCCCTCCCTCCCTTACCTCCTCTCCCTTCCCTCGCCTAACTTCCCTTACCCTCCCCATCAATCCCCTCCTCTCCTCCTTACCCCCCCCCTCCCCTCCCCTTCCCTCCCTTACCCTCCCTCCCTCCCTCCCTCCCCTCCCCTCCTCCCCTCCTTACCCTCCCTCCCTCCCTTACCCTCCCTCCCTCCCTTACCCCTCCCTTTCCTCCTCCCTCCTTACCCCTTCCTCCCCCCCTCCCTCCCCTCCCTTACCTCCCTTACCTCCCTCCCTCCCCCTTACCCTCCCCTCCCCCCTCCCTACCCTCCCTCCCTTTACCCTCCCCTACCCTCCCTACCCTCCCATCCTTCCCTTACCCTCCCTTACCCTCCCTTCCCTACCCTCTCCCATCCCTCCCCTCCCCTCCCTTACCCTCCCTCCCCCCCTCCCCTCCCCTCCCTCCTACCCTCCCCTCCCTTACCCCCCTTACCCTCCCCTCCCCCCTCCCTTACCCTCCCCTCCCCTTACCCTCCCTTACCCCCCCTCCCTTACCTCCCCTCCCTTACCCTCCCTTACCCTTCCCCTCCCTTACCCTCCCCTCCCTTACCCTCCCTCCCCTCCCCTCCCCCTCCCCTCCTTACCCTCCCTCTTACTCCCCTCCCTTACCCTCCCTCCCTTACCCTCCTTACCCCCCGCGCATGATCTCTTTGTCTCAACCCTTTTTCCTTTCGGTGAGACTGCCTCTTCGCCCTTCTGGGAGGGGCATCGAGGCCTTTCATCGTCCTCTTTCTGTCTGTCTGTTTGTATCTTTCTTTTATTAGTTTTTTTTCTTTATTTCTCTTTCTTTCTCTTTCTTGCTCTTGTTCTTTTTCTTTCTCTTCTCTGTCTCTTGTCTCTTTCTCTTTCTCTCTCCCTCCTCCCTCCCTCCTACCTACCTACCTACCTACCTACCTCTTTCCTCCCTCTTTCCCTCCCCTTTCCCTCCTTTCTTCCCTCCCCTTCCTTTCCCTCTCCCTCCCTTTCTTACTCTCGCTCTCGTACTCTCCCTCTTATTCACTCTTCCTCTCTTACTCACCTTTCCTCTCCTTCGTCCTTTTCTCTCTCCTTCTCTCCCTTTCCCTCTCCTTCGTCCTCTCCCCCTCTCTTCCCTTCCTTTCTCCTCTCTTTCTTTCTTACTATCCCCCTCTTTCTCCATTTTCCTCTCCCTCTCTTTCTTCGTTCTTTCCTCGCCTTTCTCTTCCTTTCTCTCCCTCTCCCTCCTTCCCCACTTCCCTTATTCCCTCATTCTCTTTCTTCCTTCCCTTCTCTCCCTATTTTCCTCCCTCTCTTCCCCTCCTCCCTCCCTCTCGCTAATTCTCCCTCTTCCTATCCCTCTCTCCTTCTCCTTCTCCTTCGTCGTCCCTCTCTTTCTCCCTCTTCCTTTCCCTCTCCTTCTTCGTCCCTCTCCCTATCATTCTTCGTCCCTCTCCCTCTCTTCCCTCTCTTTCCTCTTCCCTCTTCCTATCCCTCTCTCCCTCTCCTTCTCCTTCTTCGTCCCTCTCCTTTTCCCTCTCTCCCTCTCCTTCTCCTTCTTCGTCCCTCTCCTTCTCCCTCTCCTCCTCCCTCTCCCTTTCCCTCTCCTTCTTGGTCCCTCTCCCTTTCCTTCTCCCTCTCCCTCTCCAGAACCACTTACCCGGAACGCGCCTGCAAGCATAGGCGAACACCGTCACATCGCCTCCCCTGGCCTGGACGCGCACATACCAGCGGCCCAGCACCTCCCGTACACACAGACCATAAAACATTAACCCTTAGACAAGTCTCCCAAGCTCAGCTCGCATAATAAAAGCAGCCATCAGCTCTCTGTTGGTGCATAGGGCTTTTTTTTTTTGGGGGGGTGGGGGTGGGGGTAGGGGGGGGTGTTTCTGTCCGTTCTCTGGTTCCTTTTTCTTTCGTTGTGTTGGGTTGGGTTTGTCTTGTCTGTGTGTGTGTGTATCTTTTTTTGTCTGTCTATTTTTTTCTGTCTCTGTTTGTGCCTGTCTGGCTGTCTGTCTGTCTGTCTGTCTGTGTATCTCTCTCTCTCTCTCTCTCTCTCTCTCTCTCTCTCTGCTCTCTCTCTCTCTCTCTCTCTCTCTCTCTCTCTCTCTCTCTCTCTCTCTCTCTCTCTCTCTCTCTCTCTCTCTGTGTGTGTGTGTGTGTGTGTGTGTGTGTGTGTGTGTGTGTGTGTGTGTGTGTGTGTGTGTGTGTGTGTTGTCTGTCTGTTTCTCTCTCTCTCTCTCTCTCTCTCTCTCTCTCCTCTCCTCTCTCTCTCTCTCTCTCCTCTCTCTCCTCTCTCTCCTCTCTCTCTCTCTCTCTCTCTCTCTCTCTCTCTCCTCCTCTCTCCTTCTCTCTCTTCTTGTTTCTTATATACAATTTTTTCCTCCCCTCCCAGCTCGGGCTAATCAGATGCCAGAATATGCATCACATTACGTCTCAGTCAAGTTCATTCTTTTGCTCTCCGTCTTTCTCTTTCTCTCTCGCCGTATCTCTCTCTCTTTCTCTCTCTCCTTCTCTCCTTCTCCTCCCTCTCTCTTCCCCCCATCCCCCCCGACGCGTCTTCTGTATGTCTTCTTCATTCATCAATAACCTATACCCGGCACCTTTTGCATAAAGTGGATGTCAGCGGTTTGTGAAGGTGTTGAAAGTGTGCGGACGGGCTGGGTGCGCGGGCCAGGGTTGCTTGTGGGCTTCGGGCTCGAGTCATTAGCATCTCCCGCCGCTTTTCACTGACCGTCTGGCGGGCTCGCTCGTCTTTTGTTTCGCTCTCCCCGCAGCCACACGCCTCGTTCCTTGGATTTTTTTTCTGTCTTTCTTTCTCTCGCTCTCTCACTCTCTCTCTCTCTTTCAATGGACTCCCATTGGTCGTACTAGGGCGTTCGTAGCGTGAGGGGGTGGAGGTGGCAGGCCGTGGGGATGGAACGGAGAGAGAGAGACACGGCGGATCCTGTCCTCGTCATATTGGCATTCCTGCACTGTGTGTGTGTGAGTGTGTGTGTGCGTGGTAGACGGCCATAATAACAGGGTGGGTAATTACAGTATCAGGGACGATTCACTCAGATAAATTATCCCCATGCTAATTGTGAGACACGCAATGCTGGGTGTGCACAGCCATGCCTAACCCATCACTTGCAACGAGATGCAGGTTGCTCGCCGCCGCCACCAGGCCCGACCGCCGCGGCAAACACGCACGCCGCAAAGGTATTCGTTGCGGCCTGCCTCCCTCGGCCGCGGCCGGAGCTCCGCACTAACGAGAGCGGAGGAGGCGCGGCCCGAAAGGCGATCGTTCACGTCCCGCCGGAATGCGCTTGGGCAGGCACCACCAGTTCCCTGCGTCGGCCGAGCGCGGAGGGGGAGAGAGAGAGCCCGACCCGACAATAACTCTGCCCCTGGATACTAATTATATTATCGGTTGTTCGTGTATGTAAAGTATGATTTAATCAGAAATGTTAATGATAGATCGCTTCTCTGCAGGTGAGCGGCGAAGGCGTTGAACAAAAGCGGCTCCAGCTCTAGATCCACTCGAGATGCGCAGGAGGGGCGAGGCTCCAGCTTAGTCTGTCGAGCTTCGGACCTCGGCGAATGGGTGCGCGCTGGGAGGCTGGCGAAGCTCACGTCGGGCGCGGGCGTGGAGGCGGAGGAGGGAGGAGAGGTCTTCCTTGGCGGTGGAGGAGGGAGAGGTGTTCCTTGGAGGTGGAGGAGGGAGAGGTGTTCCTTGGAGGTGGAGGAGGGAGGAGAGGTCTTCCTTGGCGGTGGAGGAGGAGGAAGGTGTTCCTTGGAGGTGGAGGTGGAGGAGGGAGGAGGTGTTCCTTGGAGGTGGGAGGGAGAGAGGCTTGGAGGTGGAGGAGGAAGGAGAGGTCTTCCTTGGAGGGTGGAGGAGGAGGAGAGAGGTGGACGGTGTGGAGGAGGAGAGGTGTTCCTTGGAGGTGGAGGAGGAAGGAGAGGTTCCTTCCTTGGAGGAGGAGGAGGAGAGGTCTTCCTTGGAGTGGAGAGGAGGAGAGGTCTTCCTTTGGAGGTGGTGTTCCTTGGAGGTGAGAGGTGCGAGGGAAGGAGACTTCCTTGGGACCTCCTCCTTGGAGGTGGAGGAAGGAGAGGGGAGGTGAGAGGTGAGACTTGGAGGAAAGAGAGGTCTTCCTTGGAGGTGTGTTCCTCCCCTCCTTGGAGGTGGAGGTGTTCCTTGGAGTGGAGGAAGGAGAGGTCTCCTTGGAGGTGGAGGTCCTCCTGCGAGGTTCCTTTGGAGGAGGAAGGAGATCCTTGTGGAGGAGAGGTCCTTGATTTTGAGGTCGATTTTAGGCTGCTGTTGAACTTTTTTTTTTTTGAGGGGGGGTTATTTTTCCCCATTTTGGGAAAAGTTGTGGAATTGCTAAGATGTTTCCTGGTGTTTTAGAATTGCATCTTTTCCCTTTTTTTCTTCTTTTTTTGTATTCTGGAAAAGATGATTTTCTGATGATTTAGAATTGGCTTTTTTGGTGTTGTAGCATCGTTTATGTGGTGTCAGTTGCGTGCGCGTGTGTGTATGTGTGTGTGCGCGCGTGTGTGTGTGCGTATGTGTGTTGAGATTTTAACCTTAAGACTTTATTTTTGTTA